ATGACTTTCTTGCCTAAAGGAGTTAATACCACAATTCTGGCCCTTATTCCCAAAAAGAATGAAGCTATAGAGATGAAAGATTATCGTCCCATATCATGCTGCAATGTGATGTATAAGGTAATATCGAAAATTCTTGCTAACAGATTGAAGAAAATTCTCCCTGCATCAATAGCCCCAAACCATTCTGCGTTTATTAAGGATCGTCTTATGATGGAAAATCTGTTGTTAGCTTCAGAATTAGTCAAGGATTACCATAAAGCTTCAGTCTCTAAAAGGTGTGCTGTTAAGATCGACATATCAAAGGCTTTTGATACGGTGCAATGGCCTTTCTTGCTGACGGCTCTAAGAGCCATGAATCTTCCGGAAAGTTTTATTCGCTGGATTGAGCTCTGTATTGGCACTGCTTCGTTCTCTGTTCAAGTCAATGGGGAGTTGGCTGGGTTTTTTCAAAGCAAAAGGGGTTTAAGACAAGGATGCTCTCTTTCTCCATATCTTTTCGTCATTTGCATGAACGCTCTCTCTAGAATGCTGGATAAAGCGGCAGTGGATCAGAAAATTGGTTACCATCCTCGGTGTAAAAGCATGGGACTAACTCACTTGTGCTTTGCGGATGATATTTTGGTTTTTTCAGATGGGAGTGTACGATCAATAGCGGGTATTCTACAAGTTTTTAATAAGTTTGCAGATGCCTCGGGACTCAGAATCAGCCTAGAGAAATCAACCCTGTTCATGGCTGGTTTCTCATCTACTCATAAAGAAGATATACTCCAGCGTTTTCCATTTGAAATGGGAACTCTTCCAGTGCGGTATCTCGGTCTCCCTCTTCTCACTAAAAGTATGACTCGCTCCGATTATCTACCCCTCATTGAGAAAATAAGAAATCGCATCACCTCTTGGACGGGTCGGTTCTTATCTTTCGCGGGTAGACTACAACTGATCAAATGTGTCCTATCAAGCATCACTAACTTTTGGCTCTCAGCTTTTAGGCTGCCAAGTAAGTGTATTAAAGAACTTGAAAGTCTTTTCTCTGCTTTTTTGTGGTCTGGTGTAGAACTCAACTCAAGGAAGGCAAAAGTGGCATGGTTGGATGTTTGTAAGCCAATTAAGGAAGGTGGGCTGGGACTAAGACCGATATCAGAAGCAAACACGGTGAGTATTTTGAAACTTGTTTGGCGGCTTGTCTCCGCTACGGACTCTCTTTGGGTCAGCTGGGTTCACGCAAATTTGTTACGAAATGGGTCCTTTTGGTCAGTTCGACAAACAAGTACTTCAGGTTCATGGATGTGGAGGAAAATATTGAAATATCGGGATAAAGCCAAACCTCTACATAAGATGGAGGTAAGGTCAGGTCTGGCTACTTCCTTTTGGCATGATAATTGGTGTTCTCTTGGGAGATTGGCTGATGTTTTAGGTCCCCGGGGATGTATCGATATGGGTATTGCCACGAACTGCTCAGTTGCTGCAGCCCTCTCAAATCACCGCCGACGCAGACACCGAAATGAAATGCTAAACCGAGTTGAGGATGAGTTGGATTCCCTCCGATCACATTCTCTAGCGGGTAAGGATATTTCACTATGGAAAAGGAACAATGGCTCTTTCAAGGGAACGTTCATTTCAAAGGAAACTTGGTATACGATACGAGACACTAATCCGGTGTGTGAATGGTATAAGGGTGTATGGTTCCCCCACTCAACGCCTAAGTACTCATTCATCACTTGGATCGCCATTCGTAATCGTTTAGCTACGGGAGATAGACTGTTACAGTGGAATGCTGCAGCAAATGGTGATTGTAATTTGTGTGATGGGAACATAGAAACAAGAGAACACCTCTTTTTCTCCTGTCCGTATTCGTCTCACGTCTGGTCAGCCCTCACACGAGACATGCTTGGGCAACACTACACAACACGATGGGAAACTCTGCTTCCTTTACTCACGGCTCCATCTACCTCAAAGCTACATTTGTTTGTTTTGAGATATGTGTTTCAGATATCTATCCACAGTCTATGGCGAGAACGGAATGGGAGACGACACGGCGAGTCACCAACCCCAGCATCCATGCTAGCAAAACTGATCGACAAGAACGTTCGTAACCGGCTGAGCACCTTAATTACGACGGGCTCACACACTTATGAAGGCGGACTGCGATATTGGTTCCAAACCCATAGTCGCTAGTTTTCCCCTCTTTATAATCCCTCTCAAAAACTCAAATTTTTTCAGCTTGATGTTGCATTTATTGTAAAACCGTCTTTTTTTGGTGAATAAATTTTACTTTCATACAAAAAAAAAAAAAATTAGCCGATGTCTTAACAAAGGCACTAAGAAAGTCGAGTTTTGATTATTTGTTGCACAACTTGGACATGTGTGATATACATGCTCCAACTTGAATTAGAATCAATATAGAATTAGAATCAATTGATCTTTGCTTGTTGTTGTTGCACTTACCGGAGATCAATATTTGCTCTTTTTTTTCGGATGACAAAAAAAAAAAAAAAAAAAACAGCTCACTCCATTAATTAAACGACCATATATATTTAATTTAATTCATAAGACCAAAATTCTGTGTGTATCCTTAAGAGAACAAATAGACTCTGTCATATGCTTGTGATATATATTCAACTTCACGGCAACTATACTATATAAAAAGAAATTATTGCAGAAATTTGTAATCAGTATTCAGAATAAGAAACCAAAAGACCCAAAAAAGCTTATATTTATCGACTTTAATTGTAAATTGTGATTGTGTTGCTATATATATACGATCGGTATGATTCGATTCTTATGCTGTTTCTTCAACAGCAAGAAGAAAAAGCAGAGTAAGCGGCGTTCCAGCGGTAATGGAGGAGGAGGTTGTTGTGGTGGCGGAGACGACGGTGGCTGTGGAGGCTGCGGCGGTGGTTGTGGAGGTGGTGGAGATTAATTGAAGATGGTCTAGCTATGTGATATGATTTCTTGTGGCATGTGATGTATTTATATATGCTTGTTATAAGATTTTAACTTGTGATATCTCGTGAGAATGGAAATTGATTTCTTGTGGCATGTAATGTAATGTATCGAATTTATGTGAACAGTCAATACTACGATATTTGACTTGCATCGCAAGCTTTCTATTTATTTATTTCCTTGTTTTGGCTATCTAATTTCAGATTGCTGTTGTTTAGTACATCTTCCTGTAATTTTCTGATCTACGAGAACGATTTTGCATAGTGAAGACGAACAACGTACAGATTGGGGAGCATTTATGAAAATATGAAATTATTGGATCTTCAGTCGCATAGTTTTTTACAATAAGTTTTGTTCTTTAATTGATTTCATTAGACCGTGCCACACGTCTTTCATTAAGATTTCGTCAAATCAATTGATTTATCTGGAAAATTGATACTTTATTTCGACGTGGTTACGAGTCTGTCTGGTAACGGGTCAATGATACACTTATTTTCAGTATCATTGTTTTGTTTTGTTTTTGTTTTTTTTTTGTCTTATAAATCTTAAGACATCCCTTTGTGGTCCGGTCTGCCTTATAAATATGTGATGTGACGAGTTCAGAAGCAAGATTTTTCACATAATTAATTGCATGCTTTTAATTTGTCTACTACAATTTTTTCGACCGTATATATTAACGTAATTTGACCCTATTTCATGAAAACAATTAGGACCGCTGGGTAACTGAAACATCCCTTGCAATTTTCTTTTAATTTTTGGTTTTACCCAGTTGCAATTGTGTCTTTCAGAAATTACTAGGTCTATGTCATAATCTTGAAATCTTTCATAAATGTTGAAAGATACGATTCATAATAAATGTTCTTAATTTTGACCCCAAAAAAAAAAACTGTTATCACTAATGTAAATATGGGAAAAATGGGTAGAAAAACTCTCACCTTTTATAAAAACATAGAAAAAACCCTCAACTTTTTTTTGGGGTTTTAAACCCCCACCTTTTCATAAATGGTAAATAAACCCTAATATTAAAAAACTTAATTTAAATTTAAAAAATTGTTATACTAAAACATAAATAAATAGAAAAAATTTGATTTAGGGTGTTTCTTCTAAAATTCTAGTTTACAATATTTTTCTAGATTGAAAATATGTAAGTCATGATGTAAAAAAGTTAATTAGTGAAGTTTTATTCGGTGTGTTACAAAAATTCATCAACGTGAAACCACGAATTATATGTAAATTCTTATATCGAAACCGAATATGAGTTTATATTAATAAAAGTTTATTAGGTTCGATCACACAAATTTACTAACGTAAAACCAAACCAAATTTTATAATACTATGGAAAGTACATGAATTTCCACATCAAAATATTTTCATTGGACAAACTAAATAAGATTTACTAACAATTAATATTTATATATATATATATATTACAATATATTAAAATATAATATTAATTATATTTAATTAATCATTATTTAACTATATTTTTATCCAAAACCTGAACACTCGAATAAAAAAAAATCAAATGTGATATCCTATAAATTTTTGTAGTTTATATAACATAACTTCTAATTGTAACAAAAATAATTTGCCTAATCTCAACTAAATGATGAATAAATGTTCATAGCACGTACAAAACCCTAATTTTAGAAGAAAATAAATCGTAAACTCGAATTTGAAATAAAAAATCATAAATTAAATTTTTTTTGTTACTTACGTTTTAATATAATGATTTTTAAAAAATTAAATTGAGTTTATTAATCTTAGGGTTTATTTAACCATTTATAAAATGGTGAGAGTTTAAAAACCTACAAAAAAAGTTGAGGTTTTTTCTATATTTAAAAAATGTGAGAGTTTTTTTACCCATTTTTCCGTAAATATGTAATGATTCCGTGGAATTTTCCAACTAGATTGACACTGTTGGAAAAAAAAATCGTGAATAAAGAAACTAGGTTTCTATTTGACTGTGTATAGTAAACCTAGAGGGGAAGTCTCATTTGTCTGCTATTGGAATTTCTTGGGCAATTTCATGTATATATCTTTGTCAACAGATCTTTGAGAAAGACAAATAGTTTACGTAAGTTTATATTATTTAAATATATTTTTGTCAAAGTCAGAGGCAATTTGGGTCTATATAAAAGGTACATATAGCATATATTTGAATCAGTATCAGAACATTTAAAAACAAAAGCTTATACACATTTTGTTTTATAGGTGCTTGTACATTTATTGTTGACCTTTATCATAATCTCTGTGATTGCATTGCATTTGCCGTACGATCACGATGTGTCGAATGTTATGCTGTTGCTTCTGCCGCAAGAAGAAAAAGCCGCGAGATGTGAAAAAGGGTAAAAAGGGAAAGAAAGATGGAGGCCTTGTTGTTTCGAAGCAGACTAAGCCTAAGAAGAAGCGTCGCGATGATGTAGGAGCTATAGGAATAGACTCATGTTGCTGTTGTGGCGGTGGTGATGGTGGCGGAGATGGTGGCGGAGACGGTGGTGGCGGCGGAGGATGTGGAGGTGGTGGTGGAGGCGGTGGATGTGGAGGTGGTGGTGGAGGCGGTTAAAATATGAGGTTGCTGTAGTTCATCAACATATAATGATCATTTCTTGTGTGTCGTATGTTTATTTGTTTGAAAAAAAACATTTTATTTATATATGTAATATAAAAATTATTTTAAGGCGTGATCTCTTGTTAGACTGGAAATTGAATGTATATATACATTATGATGCATCATATCAGTTAGAACACTAAAAATTTAAACTAATAAGAAAGTTTTATAAAAGTAAAATAAAACCATTTTAACAAACAAAAAAAAAAAGTAAAAGAAAACCATGCTATATGAAATTGTATATTCATTCTTTTGAAAATATTATCATACTAGAAACCTTTAAAAATATTTGTTTTAGATTCATCATAAGATTAATATTGTTTTTTAAATGAAACAAAAATATCATATTGATTGATTACTTAGTAATAACTAATAATACACGTACAGTTTCTATCACATAATTTTTTAAGGACACATAATATTATTTAACTTCCATCTTACGCCAAACGATCAGCTTGTTTAGTCGGTCGTCGGATATGTTTCTATCTCATAGCGTATGTATTGAAGAACTCTCGCAGTCACATTACCTGTCGGAGAGATCATCGATTCCCAAATATCTTCTTTTAGAAAATATGGTTTTTGATTTAGAGTTGAAAACAATGTTTCAAATAATATCTGGATATAAAAAGCACACGCTTTCTTATGACCAAATGTATCATCCGGAGACTTTTTTTAATTACCCAACCTAATTGTGGTCATCTCATTGGTTATTCGATTGTTTATAGACCCGTAATACAGTTGATTTGTCAAAGGTTATATTTATTTATTTTGGGTAAAGATTAATTAGTTGTATACTAAGTCATACAGTTTATAAATCTTCAAACACAACATTAAAATAGCGTACTTGGATCGGCGTCTTGAACAGTAGTAACTAGTTTCAAAAATGTTGAAGGTCTCCGTTAGGCCTGGGCATTCGGATTTCAAATCGGATTCGGATCGGATATATTCGGATTCGGATAATTCGGGTATGAGAGTTTATTATCCGTTCGGATTTTATGATTTTTTGGTTCGGTTTCGGTTCGGATATATTCGGATTCGGATAATTTGGGTAGGAGAATTTATTATCCGTTCGGATTTTATGAGTCATCGGTTCGGTTTCGGTTCGGATAGGTGTCGGATTCGGATCGGTTTTTGGGAAAAAAAAACTTAAAAATAGTTCAATGTTAATAAAAATTAATTTAATCTTACTAAAATTTGGTTAAATTTTGCAAAAATATGTATAATTTTAACAAATATAACTAAAAATTTTCCGAAATCTAGGATATTTAGGATATTTTTGTGACTATTCGATTCGGATTCGGTTCCAAATTTTTCGGATCGGTTTCGGATCGGTTTTCGGATTTCGGTTTTTATGCCCAGGCCTAGTCTCCGTCATGACTTTGCTAAATACAAATGACTATTGAGTCTAAGGAACATATCAAATAAAAGCTGATGCATGTGCAAGAATTTTCTGAGCTAAAAATTGGTTTAGATGGTTCAATACATCCAAATGAGAATTTGATTTGCATGAACCCGGTCATTAGTGATGTTACTACATAAAAGCTGAGAACTAAAATATTATTTAAGGAAAAAAATATAGATTATCAATAATGTTACTATTTTTAGTAATTAAATTTGGTTTGAGTTCATATTAATTTCTAAAAATACATTTTAGAAATTAGATTATCAGAGATACCTGGTCTGTCCCAGTGTTTTCCTGGATTCTTTAATATAGTATTTGAGATCTTACTTTTTTTTTTCTTAAACCCTATCGGCTATCCGGTTGGCCCCGGTAGGAACACACCGAGGTGCGACATAGTGGACTTGTCCACCGTGTTAACGGCTAGGCCCTTCGGGCTACCACTCTGCCTATCCCGAATTTGGAATGCCTTCCGACTAAGTGCCAGGGGGTAGTCAGGCCGCCTGCATTTCTAACTACCAGGTAAACCAATTGGACCAAAGTCCAACTGACAGACTTCCCACAATAATGTTGATAACAGTAGAAGCGAGGAATCGAACCATGGGGAGGAGGGAGTTACACCCAACCACCCTGGGCCCGCCTTACCACCAGCCCACCATCATGTGGGCAAGAGAACTGTTACGGGTAAACTTTTTATAGTGATTGACCCCACCCCGAAAGGCCCCATATCCAGGAAAATTCTTTAATGCGTCATAGAAACCCGTGGGCCATCTATAATAGGATTTATTTGGAGAGGTTTCAGTTCCACCCCGCCGACAAAGAGTCGAACTCGCGACCTCTGTCAGTCGTGTGTGAGAAAGCCCATTGAAACCACTAGGCCATCAAGGACTTCTCGAGAGATCTTACTTTCATATATGGTTAGACAGTGATGGATATATTTGTGGGTATGGAATATTTATACTTTGTTATACAAATATTATTGCGTACATCTCTTACTAATAAAAAGAACTAATTGAGACATCTCCAGCCATCCACATCAGCTTTTCTATAAAACCTTTTCATGATGCCACATCAGCACATTTATGTTATTCGTTTGCGATAAACAATTTTAAAACCCTCCACATAGACAAAATAAATTATCGGCCAATCAGAAACTCTAGAACCATACACGTCACGGAAACACGCCACATCAAACATGCCCAATCCTATCTCTCTCTCTTCCCTGACTACTTCGTAACGACGACGATCTACATTCCGATGATGTCTTACCAAGATGGCTATCGTTCAATAGGAACAAGAGCCCGATTCCATCTCTAGGGAGGGGTCAATAGTAAGAAGGTCGATTCTATAACATCGTTTATACAATTTGTTTTACACAATGAGCTTTTTTTTGCGTTTGTGAAATAAGTCGGATTGCGATTAGACTGAGTAGAAGATGTTTCAGTTTGGTACAGATTCCTTTAACTGGGGATAGCCTCCATTCATCTCTATACCCATTGATTCGACCGACACGCTTCTTCGATATCATCTATGAGGTTCGACCTTTTTCCCACTCACATATCTTGGTAATTAAGAAGAATTGCTCCACTGTTTTTCATTATCTTGAAAATCAAACAAATGGCATTTCCGTTCCGTATTAGAAAGGAAACAGCACTTGGAACTATGGTTTCTTAGGTATTTAGCTGCTTCTTTGATTTCGTTTAGTGAAGCAGAGTTTTTAGAAGATAAGATTACAAAACTGACTCTTACTTTCCTTCAATTTTCTATTAACCTTCTTTTATCTTCCAGACCATAGTGGTTAATGTAAAGAGATATAGATATGGTTAATCAACTAAACAGCGCTCCAATGCATGGGTTTTATCCAATTACTCAAATTTTTAAATTGAGTTTTGGTACATGTTTCAAGCCATTCGATAACACATAGCACAACTTGAGCCATTTTCTCGAGTTTACGGTGCTAGATGGCTAGAGTTCAACGTGTATGTTTGTTTTTTTTCTAAGATTGTTCTTTCGCTAGGTAACTATGTCCAGCAAATGTTGATGTGATTTAAGGAGAATGAAGTGATATTAGGGTTTTAAGTGAACTTCGTTAGTCATTTTATTACCATGATTATTTAACTACTCACATGAAATATTTTTTATTTGGTTTCCTCTACCACAGGTACAAGAAAAGGTGAATAAATGAAGTTATAGATCATGAGTGATAATATTAATCTCCATCGTTGACCAGATATCACCAAACACTAGAGGAGTAATAAGGAACTAAAGAAATCATCCAGCGATCTCAAAAGATGTTCTTGGTAAGACCCATGAACTTTTTTGATGATGTTTTGTGACTTGTGAACACAACTAGAAACTTTAAGCCTTTAAGGCATTTGAGTTGTCGTCCAACCTTAAAGATCTACTCTTTTTGGTAAGAGTCTTCACATAATATGAATGTCAGACCATCCCTGATGACCAAAAAAAACAATGGCTGCGGAAGGGCAACTAGAAGGGTCACCACCAATGAAATAAAATGTCACATACAGAGCCATACAAATTAAATCAACAAGAGAGTAAAATTCCAAACTTCAAAGAGTTTGCTTGAAGATCGTACGAGTGGTTGGCACATGAATAATTCTGGTGACAAGGGGACAATGGAGTTAGTCTGCTGCCATGGTATATGTTTTCAAAGAAGAACAAGGGAATGTATTAATGTAACGAAGCTGGGTCACATGATATATATAACATGACAATCAGAGGCTAATATTTTAAAAACCTTTCATAGTATTTTCTACTTTATTTCATTTGTTTTTGTAGACAACATTCTAAATAAAATAATTATTTTTAATGGTTTCTATAAATCTTGACACAAAAATCTACTTTGAATCTATAGTTTAGCTTTAAAATTTAAATAGAAAAAAATCTACATGAAAATTATTGCTCATATATAGATAGCTACAATTCAAATATAAAATTATAAACTTTACTTTGTTCATATACTCATAGAAATTAGTTTTCATTTGCAAATGTAAACGGCGCGTAGCGCCGGCGAACCCCTAGTATATAGAATAGAACCATATTTGTACACAATATGGTACACAATATGGATAGAAATCACATTTTTCGAATTATTAATTTCTGTGTTATAAGAATTAATTACGGATTTTGCCCTTTTTTATAATGACATTTGTGGATTTTGCCATTTTTTGAATAGTTTGTGGATTTTGCCATTTTTCAAGCTCCAAAAATATGATTTAACATGCGTTTCACTCGTTATGTGTTGGGTTAGTCGGTTCCATTTGTTCTTAGAGCATCTCCAAAGGGGACCTATATTGAGTTGCCAAACCTCAAATTGAAGGTTTAGGGTTGTGTGTCTCCAAAGAAAAACCTCAAATTTACTTCAAAAAGAATTTGTATTTTGCATAATAGTCCTTGCTATTGATTATAATTACATAAAATCATAAAACTTTTATAAATAACAATAAAACATACATTAAAAATATTACAAACATTATTAATTAATAAAATACACATTATAAAATAAAATTACACAAAATAATAATAAAAACACAAACGAAATCTCAAATTAAAACTAAATTACCAAATTATTGAACCTAATTATTTCTGTAATGCTCCCATATATGATCAATCAATGCATTTCGAAGAGTTAGATGAGTTTCTTTATTTTTAATCTGTAGATTACGAGATAAAAATTGTTGAAATCGAGTATTTTCGTTTATTGCC